TGGAGGGGAGGGGGAGGGGGTCGAAGGTTGTAACGAAAACTGGAATGCCAGATTTCGACTGCAGAGCCCACGTTTTAGGGACCGGAACTGCGAATTAGGGTCTGTAAAACTTACAACTTATAAAAACGCTTTCAAAACTCCAGCCTGGAGATGCTCGCTCCTGGAAGCACGGTTGCTTCCAGCCTAATTCCAGCGGCGATGCACCTCCCAAATACACGGCTGAGAGAAACCATCGCTGCTCCCCTGGGTCACAGCCTTGCTCCCGGGGTGGGCTGCTGTGCTGTCCCCAAGGCTGTCGTACTGTCCCCAAGGCTGCCGTGCCGTCCCCAAGGCCGGTCCATCCCCAGCACAGCGCCCACCCTAAATAACGCTGCACTTTTTATTAAAAAAAAAAAAAAAAAGCCTATTTGCACCCAAAATCCTTGCTGCGAGGCTGCCAGGTTGCCTGGTGCTGCTCCTCCCCATCCTCTCTCCCAGGGATGTATTTACAGGTCTCCGGGCTTGGGATGTATAGGGATGTATAGGGATGTATAGGGATGTATAGGGATGTATAGGTCCAAAGGAATTAAGTGCCACAGCGTTCGCTCCCATGGACGCTCCCGTTTGAAATGGGTAAAGCAGCCGCAGGCTTTGGGGGGGCATCAGGCGTACGAGAAGCCTCGTTATTTGGCTCCTTACATCCTTCCAGGGAGATGATTCCCGGCTGGTGCCCCCCCCCATCCCTGCCGCAGCCCCTTCCTGAGCCATTAAAGCATCGGCGCGCTCCAGAACACCTCGAGCCGCAAAGGGAACCACCATAGAGGGACCAGCGCTCTCCCCGTCCTCCGCGCTGGGTCCGGCACTGGCTGTAACGCCCTCAGACCTCGTCAAAATAAAGAGGAACGCTGCATCTGTGAGGATTTCCACGATATTTAGCCTTTTAGTTTTATCTTTTGGGTAGCGGAGCCGGCTTGAAGCTCGGCTGGCAGCTGGTGCCCAGCTACGATGCTCACGGCAGGAGAGGCAAACAGTCAAGTCTGAGTCAAAACCTCATTTTTCCTTACAAAAAAAAAAAAAAAAAGCCTGGTTAAAAGAACCAGCCGTTCAAGGCGGCGAGTTTTACGAGCTCTCGCGGCTCCGATCCAATTTCTCCCTTGCTGAAGGGAGTTAATCTTTGCGTACGGGAGCTCTGTAAGGGAGAAAAGAAAGTAAATACCTCCCGTATGGAGCGAGCTCTGTCTGTGACCGAGTGGTTTTTGGGAAGGAAAAAAACTGAGCCTGGCTTCTCCTGTCCAGCCCTGCGAAACATCTGACCACAGCAGGGAGAGCCCAACGGGACCTGAGCGCATCCTCAGGGCGCATCAGCTGAGAGCCCCCGGCCCCAGCAAACCCTCTGTATTAATTTCCTTCCCCCTCCATCAGCAGCAGCCCTCTGACTGCGGGGGAAGGGAAAAAAAGGGTTCCATTCTGCAGCAGACGCGATAAAACCCACCAAAGTGACAGTCAGCACTGGGACAAGGAGGGCAGAGAAGCCGCCGAGCGCCTGCGCTGGTGCCCACACTCGGCCAGGGACGCCGTCGAGGGAGGACGTCCCGCTACAGACGCTTTCGAGGCAAGGCAGAGCCCAGGGTTTTGGCAGCCGGCGCATCCCGGGGCAGCTTGGACACTGCGATGGATTTAAAAGGGTGGGAGGAGACGGCAGAGCCCTGAAATCCTCGCGGGGGGGGGTTTGCTCCCTCCATCCTCCCCCGGGGCTGAGCAGCGCCGGGGGCTGGCAGGGATGCCTTTGCCAAGGGGACTATGAAAACAGAGCGCAGGTTGTATTCGAGCGGTCCCTCCACCACCGGCCGCCCGCTCCCGCGGCTCGAGGTTCTCCAGTCATCCCTCCCGGGCAGCGGCTCTGGCAGAGGCACCGGCGGGACCGTGCCAAGGGCAACTCGGAGCAGCATCTCCAGGCGGGCAAGTGAACCGCTGCTCTCCCAAGCCCCTCTCCGTCCCATCCGGCCTCCGGATGGATGTAACTGCATCCCACCCTGACGCACGGCCACCTACAACCCACACAGCGCCCGCAGCTCCTTGCTAGGGAGAAGGACACGGGGCTGCGCCGGGGCAGGGTCCCCCACCCCAACGCCAGGGACACGCACTCACTTTCCACTGTAGCGCCTTCGTTAGGGTTGGAGTAACCTTCTCCCTTCCTCTTGATCCTCCGGATTATCCCTCCATCCTCAAACAAGTCCTCGCCTTTGAAGTCAAGCAGCTCAACCTAAAAAAAAACAAAACAAAACAAAAAAAACCCAAAAAACAACATTAAAAATAATAAAGAAAAGGTGGGCAGAGCTCAGGGAGGGGGGAAGGAGAGGAGAAAAACAACAGAAAAGCCCCAAAGCAGCAGTTCATCCTCTGGATGGAGAGCCAAGCCGGCTAATTGTCCATTCAGCTGACGAGCAGAAGTTGCCCATAAAAGCCCGCTCCAAGCCACAGCATAATACACCCGATTTATTAGAAACTGGGACACATCCAGTACCTGAAGCATAACACGAAGTAACAGTAAAAATAAATTTATTAAGGCTGTAAGGGTAGAACACGGCCGGTGCTGGACGATGCTGTGCGAGCTGCCCGGGACCAGCGCGGGCAGGAGTTTTCCCTTCCTTCTGACCGGCTCCGACCCGCTGGACTTGGGAAGGACCTAAACCTTAATTAAGCGCAGACCCATTCCTCCCGCCCCACCGCCTCCTCCCGACGAGCCCTCCCCAAGCCATCGTGCCGCGCCAAACCCTCCGGCGGTCCTCCCGCCCCGCGGCACTCATGGCTTTTTAGCACCCGGAGGGGAAAAGCCTCCCCGGGGCTTTTCCCAGTCGATTTCTCCATCCCACAGACGTTTTTA